TGTTGGTGTACCTTTTTTTTTTGACTAGTAGCTAGAATGATTGAAGTTTGGGAAATACTGCTCCAAATATTTTGTTAGCAGGAGTTTTCAATTTAAGCTACATCGTATTTTGACTGCTGAGTACAGGAAAAAGAAACTTGAAAAATTAAGTGGAATATAAATTGATTGTCCTGTATTCTGATAGGTGGGTAATTTCACATATTACAATAAAGAAACCAAATGGATTCTCTTGAATAAAAAAACTATGTGATAGTAAAATCCAAAGGAAAACCCCAGGTGGGGGCTATCTCCATAAAGGATGACGTTTCCAAGTGAGTCAGGGTACAGGACCTGTGGGTTTGAGAGGCCTGGATGGAAGGTGAAGGTGTTTACAGATCGGTTTGGGGAAGAGTGATCATCTTCCCTCCAGTGAAAGAAGGGTCTTTGTGGAAAGGTCAAAGTAAGAAGTGGGAAAATCTCAAAGAAGATGTTATGGTTGTTGTTAGTTACTATTGAGTCTATTCTGACTCATGGCGACTGTGTTTGTCAGAGTAGAACTGCTCCATAGGGTTTTCAAGGCGGTGATCTTTTTTTTTTTTTTTAATTCTTTTTCTTTTTTCCAACTTGCAAAACTTTTTTTTTTAAATTGTACTTTAGATGAAGGTTTACAGAACAAACTAGCTTCTCATTAAACTGTTAGTACACTATTGTTTTGTGACATTTGTTGCCAACTCCATGACATGTCAACACTCTCCCTTCTTGACCTTGGGTTCCGTGTTACCAACTTTCTTGTCCCTTCCTACCATCTAGTCCTTGCCCCTGGGCTGGTGTGCCCCTTTAGTCTTGTTTTGTTTTATAGGCCTGTCTAATCTTTGGCTGAAGGCTGAACCTCAGGAGCGACTTCATTACTAAACTAAAAGGGTCTCCGGGGGCCATACTCTTGGTGTTTCTCCAGTCTCTGTCAGGCCAGTAAGTCTGGTCTTTTTTTGTGAGTTAGAATTTTGTTCTATATTTTTCTCCAGCTCTGTCTGGGACCCTCTATCGTGATCCCTGTCAGAGCAGTCAGTGATGGTAGCCGGGCACCATCTAGTTGTACTGGACTCAGTCTGGTGGAGGCTGTGGTAGTTGTGGTCCGTTAGTACTTTGGACTAATCTTTCCCTCGGATCTTTAGTTCTCTTCATTCTCCCTTGCTCCTGACAGGATGCGATCAGTGGAGTATCTTAAGTGGACGCTCACAAACCTTTAAGACCCCAGACACTGCTCATCAAAGTAGAATGTAGAACATTTTCTTCATAAACTATGTTACGCCAATTGAGCTAGATGTTCCCTGAGACGTACCCCCACCCCCCAGCCCAGTAATTCAATCCCTCAGGGAGTTTGGATCTATCTATGAAGCTTCCATGACAAGGCTGTGACCTTTTGGAAGCAGACTGTCAGGACTGTCTTCTGAGGCACTGCTGGCTGGGGCCAAACTGTCAACCTTTAGGCTTGTAGTCCGAGTGCTTAACCGTTTGCGCCACCCAGGGACTCCTCTAAAAGAAGACAGGAAAATAGTAATGAAGACTAAATGGTTGTCCCGGGTGATTTACATGCAGATCTCATTTGTTTTTCACAACAATGCAGCAAGGAAGCTTTTATTAGTCACATTTCACAGATGAGATGACTGAGGCTCAGGGATGTTCAATAACTTGTCCAGGACCAGGGGTCAAGCCAGGATTTGACCCCGAACCATCATTTCTAAAGCCACGCTCCTTCCGCTGCACCAAAGGCCTTTGGTTTGGGAGTCTTCTCAACTTTGTCAACAACACACAGCTTTCACTTGGTCACTTAATTTCATCAGCCCAGTAGGGCACAGTTAGCCTTGAAGAGAGCAGAGGAAGCATGCTCAGCGGGGGACTGCCTCTCTCCTTCTGATCTCAAATGCCCCAGACTTCAGAGGCACAAAAATGCCGCTACCTTGAGCAAGGGCTTTGCAAGCGCTAATGGGGCCAGAAGGGGCAGTGGTGGTTCGGTGGTAGAATTCTCGCCTCCCATCCAGGAGATTTGAGTTTAATTTCCATTCTATGCAGCTCAAGTGCAGCCACCACCCATCGGGCAGTGGAGGTTTGTGTGTTGCTGTGGTCCTCAACAGGTTTCAGCAGAGCTTCCAGACTAAGACAGACTAGGAAGAAAGGCCTGGCAATCCACTGAAGAAAAAACAGCCAGTGAAAACCCTTTGGATCACAGTCGTCCGATTCCATTGTGCCTGGGGTCACCTCGACTCAGGGGCTGGCTTGACAGCAGCTAACAACGGCAACAATAATGGGATCAGAGAAAGGAATCGTGCATCCAAGGCAGGATTGTATATTCGAAATTTGTCTCCACCGAAGCACTTTACCCCAAAAAATCCAAACCCATTGCCATGGAGCCGATACTGACTCATAATGACCCTGTAGGACAGAGTAGAACTGCCCCATAGGGTTTCCAAGGCTGTAATCTTTTACCAAAGCAGACTACCACATCTTTCTTCCATGGAGAGGTTGGTGGGTTTGAACCACTGACCTTTCCGTTAGCAGCCAAGCGCTTCAGCATTGAGCCACAGAGAAACCTACATGAATCTTTTACACTTCTGCTTGTGACTTATCTCCAGACTCAGAGTACTGCCCACTTCCAGGAATCACAGACCCAGGTAACAGAAACATTCTAGATTAGAATAATCCAAAACTGGAGGTTGGGTACCTTAATTGCCTTCTAGCGGGATCCGGGGAGAGGTACTTGATGAATGATTTGGGGCGAGGCGGGGGAGGGAAGCACCCTGTCCTCTCTCTGCTCTCTGGGGTTGAGGACTTACTCCTGCAGCCCTGCTGAGCCAGGCACAGGCTGGGCATCTGGCTGCCCAGTGAAACATTTGTTGGACTCAGCTAAATCCTGAGCTATGGGCCTCAGAGCTGCACCCCTGGGTCTCTGTGAATTGGTGAGGGAAGGTGTCTTTGTCATGCTTGCAACGGGACTGTCTTTGGGGGTTTTCCTCAGGGCTTTACACTCACTCACTCTCTGAGGGTGCATTTGTAGTCATCCTCATCGGTGGAAATGCCCACCTGTCAGCAGAAGTTCTCTGCAGCAAGCAAGAGCACTGCCCCTAGTCTGCGGTGGTGTTCCTCTCGTCAGTTCCCCTTTCTGCATTTGAGTTCTGGCCTCAGTGCCGAGACTTTTTCTCCCTCTACAAGGAGTCTTAGGAGCTGTGGGGACCTCTTACCGGCTTCTTCTAGTTTATTCTTAGCACCTTGCTTCTGTATCCCTCGGGAATGCCACTGAGCTTATGTGTCTGGTCTCTGGGAGCTGAGGTGGATGGGCATTTGTGACAGGTATGTTCTGTGAGGCTCGTAAGCCTGGGGGAGGGTGGTGTGGGATAAAGCTGCATCTGGGGCAGCTGTTCAGAGGTGGGGCTGATGGCTGGCAAGGGACTGGGTAAGACTCAGAGCAGAGTACGTGCTTAAAACCTTTGGCCATCAGGCTTGATTCTCAGACTGGCTAAGTTGGAGGTGGGACATTACAAAAACGTGACTCTTGCAGCCCGTTGTCTTCATCTGCTTTGGCAAGCTAAGAAACAGGACAGTCAGGAAACAGAGGATGCCACTTACCAAACAACAGCCAGCTGTTCTTGGCTTGGGGTCCTGGGAGGTCCAAGCAGCTCTGCTGCAGGAGTAACCGTCTTCAGATGGTGGCCCTGCCTGAGCCCTTGTGCCAGTGGGACGCCCAGATGATGGGGCCGAACACAGTCTCTCTGCAAGGTGCGCTGCTTCTCTTCTCCCGTCCAGAAAACGTTCTCCATTCTTTCTTCCCATCCAAGTGCCCTTATCCCAAGGATTAGCCCCTCTTGGCACCACAGACCAATAGCTAATTTGGTAAGAAATAGTCCTAGGTCCAAAAAGAGCCGAGGCGCTGCTTTAGCCTCACATTCTGCATACCGCGAACGTATTTGCATTTGCAAATAGACTTAAAATAGTGCCTCCCTTAATAGTAATTTAAGGTGAAGAGAAAGGTGAAAATATTTTTTTGGTCAAGGGACCTTCCCAGTCTTCTAAAATTGTAATAACTAAGGAGATGGACTACTCCTTTGACATGGGACCTCAGCCTCGGGACTAAGGTTGTGGATTAAAATGAGTATTTAATTACGTGCTCCAATTCACAGTTCTATCTCAGATGTCTGCTGCTTGCTGTTGCAGATACCATTCATGCTATTTATGTGAGATTAATTCATTCATATATTCTGAATATATTTATTGAGTGTTCACTATGTTCTAGTTATTGTGTGTGTGTGTTTTTTATTGTTGTACTTTTAAGTGAAAGTTTACAATTCAAGTTAGTCTCTCAAACAAAAATTTATGCATACATTGTTATGTGACCTCAGTTGCTCTCCCTACACTGTGACAGCACACTTCTCTTTTCTACCCCTGATTTCCCGTGTCCATTCAACCAGCTCCTGACCCTCTCTGTCTTCTCATCTCACCTCCTGACAGGAGATGCCCGTTAAGTCTCAGGTATCTACTTGAGCTAAGAAGCACACTCTTCATGAGTATCATTTTCTGTCCATAGTCCAGTCCAATCTTTGTCTGAAGAGTTGGCCTCTGGAATGGTTTTAGTTCTGGGTTGACAGAGAGTCTGAGGGCCATGCTTTCCGGGGATTCTCCAGTCTCAGTCAGACCATTAAGTCTGGTCTTTTTTACTAGAATTTGAGTTCTGCACCCCACTTTTCTGCTGCTCCATCAGGGACTCTCTGTTGTGTTCCCTGTCAGGACGGTCATTGGTGGCAGCCGGGCACCATCTAGTTCTTCTGGTCTCAGGCTGATGCAGTCTCTGGTTTATGTGACTCTTTCTGTCTCTTGCACTAATACGTCCCTTGTGACTTTGGTATTCTTCATTCTCCTTTACTCCAGGTGAGTTGGGACCCCAGTTACTGTGTTTTAACAGGAAACGTAAAAAGACATGATCCCTGCATTCTTGAAGCTTCTAGCCTAGAGGAAAACAATATTAATTAAATATTCACACTAAAAATGATGACATGCTGACATAGTGCTCTGAAGGGAAGGAAGCTGGTTCAATGCGACTGTGCTGACCTGTATAATAGCTATGTCTTTGGGTTTGATGTTTTGGTTACTCTATTATCCCTGGCTGTCAGATGCCCCTTCCTGGGTCGAGGTGGGCAATGTTGAGGATTGGATTTTATGGGGATGAGGCTGGAGTGGGAGAGGACAGAATGTGAAAATTGAAAAGATGAGCCAAGCCAGATTATTTAGGAGAAAATCAAAGTTCAAATGCCACATTTCAAAGATAGGATAGAGGTGGGAGTTGAGTTAGGGGTTGCTGGGCCAGGGAATTGAACTTGTGAAGTGACAGAACAAACACATGTCTGAAATAAGCAAGTAGGGTTGTGTGGAGGATCCTGGACAATTTCCCAAAGTCCAGGCAAGTGTTGACAACCCCCTTTCATGTCCAGGCAAGTGTGGAGAGGATGTGTTAGGGAGAAGGGGAGAGCCAGAGACTGGGCACACACCTTTTATCAGACCCGGATCCTCTTCTGTAACATAATAAAGAGAGCTGTTTCTGAGTTCTACATCAGTTTCTACTCAGGCTGCAAATTGGGAAATAGATTCCATTTTGAATAGGTGCCATCCAGTCAGTTCCAACTCAAATTGACCCTACGTACAACAGAATGAAACTCTGACTGGTCCTGTGGAATCTTCTCAATCGTTGCTATGTTTGAGTCCATTGTTGCAGCCACTATGTTAATCCATTTTATTGAGGGTCTTCCTCTTTTTCACTGACCCTCTACCTTACCAAGCATGATGTCCTTCTCGAGGGACAGGTCTCTTCTGATAATATGTCCAAAGTATGTGAGACAAAGTCTTGCCATCCTTGCTTCTAAGGAGCATTCTGGCTGTACTTCTTCCAAGACAGATTTGTTGGTTCTTCTGGCAGTCCATGGTATATTCAATCTTCTTTGCCAACACTGTAATTCAAAGGCATCATTTGTTCTTCGGTCTTCCTTGTTCATTGTCCAGCTTTTGTATGCATATGAGGCGACTGAAAATATCATGGCTTGGGTCAGGTGCACCTTAGTCCATGAAGTGACATCTTTGTTTTTTAACACTTTAAAGGGGTCTTTTGGCAGAAGATTTGCCCAATGCAAAATGTCGTTTCATTTCTCGACTACTGGTTCCATGGGGGCATTGATAGTGGATCCAGATAAAATGAGATCCTTGACAACTTCAATCTTTTCCCCATTTATTGTGATGTTGCTTGTTGGTTCAGTTGTGAGGATTTGTGTTTTCTTTATATTAACGTGTAATCCACACTGAAGGCTGTAGTCTTTGATTTTCATCAGTAAGTGCTTCAAGTCCTCTTCACTTTCAACAAGCAAGGTTGTGTCATCTGCATATTGCAGATTGTTAAGGAGTCTTCCTCCAATCCTGATGTCAGGTTCTTCTTCATATAGTCCACCTCCTTGGATTAATTTGCTTAGCATACAGATTGAGTAAGCATGGTGAAAGAATACAACACTGACGCACAGCTTTCCTGATTTTAAACCATGTAGTATCCCCTTGTTCTGTTCGAATGACTGCCCCTTGGTATGTACAGGTTCTGCATAACCACAATTAAGTGCTCTGGGATTCCCATTCTTTGCAATGTTATCCATAATTTGTTATGAACCACACAGTCAAATGCCTTTGCATATTCAATAAAACACAGGTAAACATCTTTCTGGTAGTCTCTGCTTTCAGCCAAGATCCATCTGACATCACAATGATATCCCTTGTTCCACGTCCTCATTTGAATACAGCTTGAGTTTCTGGCAGTTCCCTGTCGATGTACTGCTGCAACCATTTTTGAATTATCTTCAGCATAATTTTACTTGCGTATAATATTGTTCGATAGGTCGATTACACCGGATCACCTTTCTTTGGAATATAGGCACATGTATGGATCTCTTTCAGCCAGTTGGCCAGGTAGCTGTCTTCCAAATTTCTTGGCATAGACAACAGAATGCTTCCAGCTTTGCATTCATTCATGAAACATCTCAATGGGTATTCCATCAATTCCTGGAGACTTGTTTTTTGCCAATACTTTCAGTACAGCTTGGACTTCTTCCTTCAGTACCATGGGTTCTTGATCATAATGCTGCCTCCTGAAGTGTTTGAATGTCGACCAATTCTTTTTGGTACAGTGACTCTGTGTATTCCTTCCATCTTCTTTTGATGCGTTGTTCAATTTTTTGCCCATAGAATCCTTCAGTATTGCAACTCGAGGCTTGAATATTTTCTTCAATTCTTTCAACTTGAGAAAAGCCGAGCATGTTCTTCCCTTTTGGTTTTTTAACTCCAGGTCTTTGCACATTTCATTAAAACACTTTATTTTCTTGAGCCACTTTTTGAAATCTTCTGTTCAGCTTTTTCACTTTATTATTTCTTCTGTTTGCTTTAGCTATTCTATGTTCAAGAGCAAGTTTTAAAGTTTCTTCTGACATCCAGTTTGGTCTTTTCTTTCCTGTCTTTTTAATGACCTTTTGCTTTCTTCATGTCTGATGACCTTGATGTCATTCCACAACTTACCTGGTCTTCAGTTATTAGTGTTCAATGTATCAAATGTATTCTTGAGATGGTCTCTAAATTCAGGTGGGATATACTCAAGGTCGTACTTTGGCTCTCACGGACTTGGTTTTAATTTTCTTCAGCTTCAACTTGAACTTGCATATGAGCAATTGATGGTCTGCTCCACAGTCATCCCCTGGTCTTGTTCTGACTGATGATATTGAGCTTTTCCATTGTCTTTTTCCACAGATGTAGTCAATTTGATTTGGGACTCTCCTCAACTTTGTCATTCAGCAAGGTCCACGTGTATGGTCACCATTTATGTTGTTGAAAAAGGTATTTGCAACGAAGAAGTCATTGGTCTTGAAAAATTCTTTCATGTTATCTCCCCCATGTTTCTATCACCAAGGCCATGTTTTCCAACTACTGAGCCTTCTTTGTTTCCAACTTTCGCATTCCAGTCACCAGAATTATTGCTGGACCTTGATGCGTGTTTGATCAATTTCATACTGCAGAAGCTGGTAAAAATCTTCAATTTCTTCATCTTTGGCCTTAGTGGTTGGTGTGTAAATTTGAATAGTAGTCGTGTCGACTGGTCTTCCTTGTAGACATATGGATATTACCCTATCGCTGACAGCATTGTATTTCAGGATAGATCTTGAAATGTTCTTTTTGACGATGAATGTGACACCATTTCTCTTCAATTTGTCTTTCCCAGCATAGTGGACTATATGATTGTCTGATTCGAAATGGCCAATACCATTTCATCTCACTAA